AAAAAACACTGTCATTCTTTAAAATTTATAATAAATTTTGAATAATTATTTTTTGCTAAAATATATTTAAAAATAAAAATAATAATAAATAATACAGAATTCAAAATATATAACTATTTAGGACTATATAAGATTTACAATCAATATTGCTACAATTGTAAATTTATATTATTAAAATAGATACTATATGTAGACAAATACACATGAATTTTATATATTACCTCTAAACATTCATCTTGCAAAAGTAAAACTAATTCTTTTAGAATATTTGAAGAAGTTGGTTCTAATAATTTTGTTACCTATAAAATTCATCATTCACATTAAGATAAATTATAAATTAATAATAAATACAAATTAATGCTTTTTAATAAAAACATACCTCATGAAAACCACATGCTATTGTTTTGCGAACATCATAATGAGGATCTAAGCATAAATCAGAAAATGTGTTATACAATTCTTCCGAAAAATTGATTGGTTCAGCAAAGAGCACCATTGCCTAAAAAATAATAAAAAATATATTTGTTGATTATATTATAATCATGGAAAATGATTAATTTTATATGGAAATATTTGGAAATGTTAATTTAAAATAACATTATATAATTATATATGTATATAATCCATAGATAGACAATAGTACATATGAGCTTGATATTTATGTCAAATGAAATTGTTTCAATTCCTATTTTAAATATTTTGAGAATATTTCATATTTTATTTAAAATATTTTTGCAAGGAAGTTCAAATATTAAGCATTTGGTATTTGTTACTGGAATTGGCATTTGAAATATTCTAAAATATTTCAAGTATTTTAAATGTAGTAATGTTTTTGAAATACTGGTATTTATGGACATATTAAGTTAATGCATATATCAAACATGCTTATAACAATATATCAATATTTATATTTTTTCTTATTTATTTATTTTATTTTTCTAAATGAAATTTTAGTCAGTAATGAGTTTTTCCATCTCAAAAAAGAAAAAAAAAACTGATTTTTAAAAGATTCTATAAAATTTACATGTTCTAACCAGTGAGTGAATTATGATAATAAAAACAAATTGGCTGAAACTCTAACACTAATGTACTGTAATCTAATTTATGCAATAAAATTCAAAACATGAGAAATACTGTGTTTTTTGTCTTATAAGACACATCATTGTATTGGATGAATCACATTTTTCAGGTAAAGTTTTTTGGAGAAAATATATTCTTCACAGGGTAAGACACATTTGGATTGTAAGATGCCTCCAAATTTTTAGATAAATTTTAAGTACAAAAAAGTGCATCTTATAAGGTGAAAAATATAGTATGTTCAATAAAGAAAATTTTAAATAATTCTATAAACTTTTTAAACTCAAACTTTTGATTCACAGGTAAACTTGTTTCAAGAAAACATTGATCTTGCTTTAAAATAGCATTATAAATATTAATGCTTATTATAAACTTTCCAAACCTCTTTGCTTTTCTACACATATACTATATAACAGACATGGACAAATGCGGCTCCAAGAGTCACATGCAGCTCTTTTTGAGTTACTTGTGACTCTTGCTGAAAGTATTAATTTCTGCTTATTATTATTATTTTTACAATTTTATTTCCACAATTTTGTGAAAATATGTTTATTAAAAAAATTCAATATTTGTTTTATATTATATTTATATTATATAATAAAATTGCAGTACAGAACTACAGCTTCCATGCATTTTGCAAAAGCTACATTTCAGTTCCCATTGAACTTTTGTTTGCCCACCCCTGCTATATAATGAGTACATGATATGAATGATTTATACATTAGAATTATTCTAATATTAAATATATGTCACAGTTTTAAATTTACTAATAAAATCATCATCTACTTTAACAGCCTTTGGGCCCAGTTCAGGGGTAAGCCTGCTGGATCTTATTACAGTGCTCCATTTACTTCTGTCCTCTGAATCCTTTGCCTTCAATCCAGCCTTTCTCATATCCTCTTCAACTCCTTCTCTCCACTCCTCCATTGTCTGTCTCTGTTTCTTTTTCCCTCCACATTAAATCATATGCCTTTCATATTATATATCCTGCCATCCTCTCCTTAAGATCATGTCCAAACCATCTCAGTTGCAACTTTGCTATTTTGTCTTGGACACCTTCAACTCCCACCAACTCCTCTCTTCTAATATCCTCCCCTCCTCCTTTTCTCCTTAAGTGTAAATCCCAGCCAACCACCTTAACATTCTCATCTCTGTTCTCATCATCATCATCATCTCAGTCTTTCTTAAGGTCCACATCTCTGCCCCATATAGGAAACTGGCCTAATCATAGTCTCGTAAATTATTTTTAGTTTTGTGGGGAATTTATGATCACATATCATATCTGCTAACTCTTTCCATTTAAGCCATGCCTTACTTACCTTGTTTTAATCTCCAAATGGCACCCTCCCTTGGTATTTATCATAGCTCCTAGGTATGAAGTATATTGATTTGCATAATATGGGACACTAATGTTCACTCAACACAATGTTCCACTCAATTGATATGGTTTGCTCATTCCATGTGATACATTAGCACAAGAAACTCAAACTGAAGCTAATTTTTTGTGCATCACCCTATATTTATTTTGCATTTGTTACATGCTTAATTTCTAAGTCATTTCTGTCTGTCACTAAGGCTTCTTTCTTCCCCTTTACAACTTGCCATAACTTCAGTCTTGCCTACATTCATTTTCATTCGACCCTTCTGTAGGCAATTTTGCCACTCTAACAAATGTTCTTGTAAGTCTTTCTCACTCTGCTATTAACATAATTTACTAATAAAATATGATCATAAAACTTAAAATCATAGTTTTTTTTATACCAATTTCAATTCTTTAAAGTAATTACATAATAAAAAGGCATAAATACTTTCATGAAAGTCTTCAGATAGAAATATTCATAAAATTTCATTAATTGTTAAAAGATATATTAATTTAGAAATTAGTCTGTGGATATCAAATATATATATTTTTAAACATTTCAAATACTAGTATTTGGTATAATAGTGTTTTCGTTTGTCTTACAGTTTATTTATTTTTACTAAAATATTTTACATATTCATATGAATTACAAAAAATATGGAGAATATCACAACATGACATAAAAATGGTTTGGTTTAAATCCCCAGTAATATATATAAACAACAGTAAGACCAAAAAAATAAAACCTAATATAAGGAGATGGAAAACTAGAGATAGGGAGAAGTGGAAACAGAAACAAAAAGAGTGGACTCTGAAGCAATGTACAGTGCATTGCTTCAGAGAATGCTTCAGTAAATTAATGCAGAGATTGCTATCTCATTCCTGTGAGATAGCAATTAATCTCTCAGTTCAGATTAGTAATAGAATTTCAGTGAAGTAAGAGCCAAATGCAATCCATGTTTTCAAAAAAGCATTTATATATGAACTAGTGAGAAAAAAATTGGCAGTGAAAGTGTCAAAAGAACTTACAAACAGAACCATAACAATCAGACCAATCAAACTTACAATTAGAACCAGACAGTCAATGAAGGTTTTTGGAATGGTTTAATTGTGCACATGTGAAAAGTATCCCTATCACAAAACCAATGATCTAAGAAAAACCCCCAAAAAATTGCTTTGCAAATAAAGTTTGAAAATTTTTGTGCAAGCAATGGCTGGCTTGATCACTTTATAACATGCCACAACATAGTTTTCCAATTAATATATGGTGAAAACAAAGATATAAACCAATAAAACATCTCAGATTGGACTTACAGGATCAAAACAATTGTTGGTGATTATGACCCATCTGCTATGTACAACACGGATGAGACAGGTTTGTTTTTCAGAGCTCTCCCTGATAAAACACTTACAATAAAAGGTCAGTCATGTCATGCAAAGGAGGTAAATTTTCAGAACAATTAACAATTGTCTTTTATGTGCACTGATGAGAAAGTCCTCTTGTCATAAATAAATCTTTCCAGCCAAGATGTTTTAAGAACATAGATGCATCACAATTAAAAGTTTATTAGTTTAGCAATCAAAAGATATGGGTGAACATTGCAATTTTCCAGGGCTGTGGAGTCGGAGTCGTGGAGTTTTGATGTTTTAGCCGGAGTCGGATGGTAAGGAAAAGTTGGAGTCAGAGTCGGAGTCGGTAGATTTTTACGTGACTTCCACAGCCCTAGCAGGGCTGTTGAGTCGGAGTCGTGGAGTTTTGGTGTTTTAGCCGGAGTCGGAGTCGGATGATAAGGAAAAGTCGGAGTCGGAATTGGAGTCGGTAGATTTTTACGCGACTCCACAGCCCTGCAATTTTCACAAAATGACTTGAAAACTGAATGATGAAATGAAGACATTTTTATTCAAGAGTTGGGCTAGACAGAGGTTACCTTTAACCTACTGAAGGCCATTTGGGGAATTCATTAACCTATGGGAGATCGCAACATCACATAAGACAGCAAATTCCTTTTTTTGGACAAGTCAGATTCCACATGCCATAAGATACATTAATTACTTTACAAACAAATATATTTGTATTTAAAAATTGGCATCATCAAATTATTAAAACTGGATTGAAAATACAGCTGTAAAATTATCATAGAAATAGCAACTTTCTATTCTATTTATTCTCAAGTTTCACAGTTTTGCCATTAAATACTTAAGTAAAACATTGCACATTGCAATCAATCACAAAGAAAAATATTATTTTTGAATTTATTTATTTATTTTTTTATTCTTTTCATCTTAGGGTACTAAGAAGGCTTTGACCATATCCATTGTAGGTTTACTCAGTCTCACAATGGGAGTGACCAGGTGGTGAGAGACAGGGCCCAACAAATCTAGGACAGACCATTGCGAAAAAATTCCTAGGGTTTTTCGACCTTCTGGGCTCAATCCTGTGTACTCCAAAGCAGTAGGCTGATACTTAACTGCTTCATCCATTTGGCAATTCATTTAGAATATTATATGCTTCAATATTCAAAAACTGTTTTCTTCATTAAACATTATAAATTAACTAAACTCCAGTTATATTATTTAAAGTAAATTTAAAATGTTTATATTTAATTTATCCACTTTTCAAAGCAATTCGTACAAAGATATACTAATAAACTATAAATATAGTTTTATAAGTAGATGTCATTAAATATTACTTACAGGGAAATTATAGGCACAAGCATGTCTACATTCAGCAAATTTATCTTGATTGTCCATTTTTGGTACAATATCAGGCATCTAATATGAAATAATATATTTAAATAATTTAATTATTTTTTTATGTTTATATTAAATAGTGAAAATAATTTATATTTATCAATAAACATGATAAATGTAATTAATATAATGTTATTCAACAACAAATTTAATTTATTATTGAATTTACATAACAATTACAGTAAGACCTCAATTTAACAGACTAACTCAGGTGAGGGGCTATCCACTAAAGTCAAAAGTCTGTTATATAATAAAGTACAGTAGGTTTTCTGAATGAATGTTAAAAAATTGACAAATTAGTTATTTTATCTGTTTTACTTATGTAGCAGTGATGTGTGGTGACATTTGATGATAGGAAAGCTGTGCCAGCCCTGGATAGAATCGTTGGAAGTGTTATACAATATTTTGGTGTGTAGCATCATGAGCTAAATTGCATGAGGTTGGTGCTCTGTAAAGCACATGCATGAATATGTATAATCTGGCTGCTTTACAAAATTCAAATATTTTTGCCGTGGAAGCTGTCCCATATTCAACAATACAGCGCTTCCATTGGGAATATGCATATACGAATTTATATTAGAATATACAATAGAAATCTTATCATTATTTTCACATGTATAGAAATTTGTAATAAAATACATAATGCGGTTATAATAAAATATTAATTTTAATTAATTCAAACTATGTTAAAATAAAAAAATAATCACACAATATGTATTTATATTTTAGAAAATACAAGGGAAGTGGCACTTCCACAACTTCCATGGATGGCACGCCATTGTTTTGTAGTTACATTTGTGTAAGTAAAATTATGTACATATGAAAAGTTTAATTTCACAGAAAAGTTTTCTATGTGTTATTTGCTTACATACTCACTGTAGTTCTGACACTATAATAACCAAGTATAAGAACTAAATTGAAATAAACATACAAAACATTTTTTGGAAATTACACTATATGAGTGGTGACTCTTGGATCTGAAAAAATAACCTTTTAATTTAATTACATAGACATTTATATGCATTTTATAATTAACAGGGTGTTAATTTTCACATATGACACACACACCACAAATTCTGTCATTAAATCTGAAATCTATTAAATCAAAGTTTTATTATAATCAAACAATACAAAAATAACATAAATGAAAAAAATTCAGTTCCAAATCATTATGTAAATCAGTAATTACTTTGTGAATACAGAAGAAAGATAATTATAAGAATCTCAATTTTTTAAATTGCCAGTTAACCAAATCACTGTAACCAAGAAATACAAGTTTTATCATTAATGTATCCTCCTTTCATTTGCTAAGTCAGGGTTACATGACTTATTCCTGTATTTTCAACCATTTTCACCATCAAATGTCAACATTTAGTTGGATAGTCTGTTTAACTTTCAAACTCATTATATTTTTTAGGTTTAATAGAATATTTACAATAAGTAAATAAAAAGGTTGACTAACAATGGTGATAGAGAGCAATTATTTAATTTGTTGAAAAAAAAATGAAATCAGAGAAAACAATCACTAAAAACTGTTTTAATTATTATAATAGTCATTATAACAATTTTATAATAATGTTTATCATAGACAAAAAATTTTTCTCCTTAATCCAATTATTCAAGTTTTCAATTATCTGACTACCTTTATTCCAAATCAATTTGAATAATCAGAATTTTATCATATTTTCATTCATGATTAATATCAGAGAAGATACATGTAGCAATTGATAGAGCCATTAACCTGTCCNTTTAATTAACTGGCTGCCTAGTATTAATAAATATTATATTAAACTATTATTATTATTTATAAGGTATTAATAAATTTTTGTTATTTAATTTGAGTTAAGCACCTTTAAATACAAATTATTAAATGTCATTTATATTCTGCAAATATCAATTAATGTGGCTTTTATTAATTAATTTGATTTAAATTAAATTGTGATATGTACTGAAAACTGGAAGTAGTATTTACTTGCATGTGCATTGAAATATAATTTGAATAATGTCATCAATGATTCCTGTTGTGATGTCTAACAATTCAACATGAATCTTGGCACCACTACTAAATCAGTAGTCCTGTCACTGATTGGTCAAACCATTAACTTTCTTTAATGTAGGAAATATAGGAAGTTGACCATTGGTGGCTGGCCATGTTGAGTACCTTGTTTGGAAACCAAGTTATCATATGGCAACTGGAACAAATATGGCATTCAAAATTTTGTTTGTAAACTAAATTGTTCATAACCTGAGGTTTGACTGTATATATGTATGTATATATAAACTTCATAATTTTTAAACTATATTTTTATCATTTACCATCAATAAGCCTATTAATAATATCATTTCTCTGTTCAAATTGTGGTGTATTTCGAAGATAAACTAAAAGACTATATGCAGCTGCTACCCGACATGGTATAGGTCTCTGAAAATTTAAAATAAAATAAATTATACTGAAAAGATAACTGATCAAAAAATATTTACAGAGCTTAAAAATAAATATATAGCATACAGCTGTATGAATTTTATTGAACAGTAAAGGCACAAATGTTGAATAAATTTGTTCAGAGGGCAAACAGTGTGGAAGACAAGATAACTGAGTCAGTATATCTGCATGAAGACGCCAATTACTTGTCAAAGAAGTAGCATTTTCACAGATCACAAGAGCATGGAGGAGTTCACCAATTTCTTCCTAAATTTAAGTCAAAATAATTAATATACAATTAATAAGCAATAGTATTTGATTTGATTTAATAGATAATATAAACTTCTAACATTTAAATTTGAAATAGAATGTAATATTTTTAATAATTTATTATTCATACAAGGAAAATCATACAAAATGTGTTCTAAGAAAATTATAAGATAACTATTAACTGAATAACTTCAAGTATATACTGTATTTTAGACTTTGTAAGGCCAAGCAACATATTATAAAAATCAAGTAAAAATTAAAATCTTAAGCATTATTTCTCACCCATTAAATTTTGGGTTAAATCTAACTTTGAGAGAGATATTATGTTTGTTGGTTTTCAATAAGCAATTGTAATTTTAAGGGTAAAATATTTGCAAGTGCAATAATATATATTATACTTAAATTTTATATTAATATTTTTTATAATTATCATAGTTTAATTTGATATGCATGATGCGTTATCTTTTATACAAATTACTGAATAAAATAAAAGTTAATATATAATAAATAGTATAGTAATATTTCTATTCATAATTACCTTAGTTTCATTATTATCTCCTAAATGTCTAGTAACTGCTGCTAAAGATTCAGGAAGATGTGGAATTAATCCTCTTAATACCTAAATGCATTTATGAAAGAGAAAATTTTAAATTCAAGATTTTAAATAAATATATAAATATGTTATAATAAAATTACGTTTATACTAAGTTTGGTATACTAAGTTTGATATTTCTCAATGTATTTTTAAATTTAAAATCGAGACCAAACAGCAGTCAAAAACATTGGAAAAATATACAAGGTCTGTTCAAAAAGTATCGGACCTTATTTTTTTCCGCGTAAACCAATGATGCGAGAGAGGCCTCCTTCGGTGGAGTTGTGGAGGGGACAGTCATGCACAGCCGTGAATTTTTTCCCGCCTGCAGAAAGCGTCAGTCGTTGGCAATCGGCGTATGAGTGAGGTCATGTAGTGCGCTCTCGTCGGATTTCACTAAGCTGGAAAATGACTGAACAACGTGAGCAGCGATATTACATCAAATTTTGCCAAAAACCTTGGCGATACCCGAGTGTAAACCATTCGCAAGATTCAGCA